AAATCCTAAACCCGCAACCCTGAACCCCTAGGATGGCACGGTTTCCGAACGGCAAGTCGCGTGGATTCGCTACTATCCTCTGTCGTGCAAAGAAGCTGGGCTGAGCTACTATAGGGGCCTTAATAATTACAATAGGGTTCTTGGGGTTCAATCATATACTATGCATATAGTTATAATTAGGAACCCCCCAAAATAGCATTAGTAAATATTTGGACCCCTACATTACCAGAGGTGTCTGAGTAATCAGCGGGTGTTATTGGGGTCTATATTTTGCTTCAATGCTGTATAGGGGTTTTGTCAGGGGTTTGAATGATCAGTAATATTGTGCCTGAGCAGGGTTTTTTTGTACTGTCTTAAACAGCGCAGGTACAGAAAACTCTCCAACCCTAGTATAAGCCTTCAGGCTTGTATGTCATGGATGTTGACGTTCCTGAAGTCAACCTACTTTGAAAATTTCATCCCGAGAACACGCCTGCTTCGTCATGATGCTGATGATGATGATCATCATCCTCGTCAGCATCACCATCATCATCATCCTCATCCTAATCATGATCATCATCGTCATCAACACCACCACCATCACCATCCCCATCAGCATCAGCGTCATCCTCATCATCGCCATCGTCATCGTCGTCGTCATCATCATCATCATCATCATCATCACCATCACCATCACTATCATAATCACCATTATCATCGGCATCATCATCATCATCATCATCATCATCATTATCACTATCATCATCACAATCATCATCATCATCATCATCACCATCATCATCATTTTCGTCATCGCCATGGTCATCGTCATCACCATGGTAATCGTCAGCATCATCATCATCATCACCATCATCGTCTTCATCACCATCAGTATCATCATCATATTCTTATTCATGTTCTGCATCTTCAGCGTCATCAACATCAGCATTACGACCGCATCATCATCATCGTCGTCGTCATTCTCATCATCCTCACCATCATCCTCATGATCCTCTTCATCGTCATCATCACCATCATCGTCACCATAGCCATTACCACCTCACCATCACCATCACCATCATCATCATCATCATCACCATCACCATCACCATCACTATCATCATCATCATCATCATCATCATCATCACTATCATCAACACAATCATCATCATCACCACCATCATCGCCATCACCGCCACAGTCGTCACGATCATCATCATCATCATCATCATCATCACCACCTTCATCATCGTCGTCATCATCATGATAATTTTGATCATAAGCCATGCATCACCATCATCATGAGACATTCATGGCCGTCGTCACCACCATCATCATCATCATCATCATCATCATCATCATGAGCCTCATCCTCCTCATCACCATCATCATCATCATCTTTACCACCACCACCAGCATCAGTATCATCATCTTCTTCATCCTCACTACCATCATCATCAGACATTGTTGTGACCGTTACTACCACCACAATCATCCTCAACATCCTCATCCACGTCATCATCATCATCATCATCATCATCATTATCACCACCACCACCACCATCATCATTATTATTATTATTATCATCATCATCATCATCCTCATCCGCACCGTCCTTCTCCTCACCCTCATCCTCTAGTCCCTGAGCCATACCCCCCCAAAACCCTATTCGTCGTGAGCGCTTGTGAGATTCCCCCCCATAAACCCTAAACTAAACCCTAAACTAAACCCTAAACCCTAAACCCTACACCCTACACGCTACACCCCCCATAAACCCGAAAAGACGGAGGTCTGGCGTACAGGACTTCGTCCTGAAAGTGCACGGCCAGTTTGTTCCAGGATTTCACAAGCCAACAGCGCTAAGGCTCGACGATCCTGTCGGTCAATCTTGGGCCTGGGGTTTCGAGTGTAGGTCCAGGTTGGATTCCTGCCTTTGGGTTAGGGTTTAGGGTTTAGGGTTTAGGGTTTAGGGTTTAGGGTTTAGGGTCTAGGGTTTAGGGTTTAGGGTTTAGGGTTTAGGGTTTAGGGTTTAGGGGCTTGCAGTTTGGGATGTTGGCGTGTCGTGCTGTATAGGGTTTACGGTTTGAGGCGTTGAATGTTTGCAGCGGCTTGCGTTCCGTGGCACAAAATTGAGGAACTACTGGTACTTTGTTGTTATTAAGTTTAAGTTACCAAATTATACAGAAGCCAATTTTTGGACCGTAAATACCCATTACTATTGTCGCCTAAGTTGGGTCCGTCAACAAGAACCCAGACTGAGCTGCCTTAAACTGTAATTAAGCCGGTGCAGAGGCTAGTTCTACAACCTAAACCCTAAAACCCAAACGGTTTAGGTAACCCAAAACCCGAAACCCAAGGGGTAAATCCAAACCCTTCACCCTCATTTCCCAGAGACCGTTGTTTGCTAGTTGTGTGCACAGCTTCTCGTTGTTTGGCTGTGACCCTGGACCCTAAGCCTAAGCACCAAACCCCAAGGCTTTGGGGCTTAGGGTTTAGGGTTTTAGCGTTTCGGGTTTTAAGGTTTAGGGTTTAGGGTTTATAGTTCCCTAGACCCGACAAGGGAGTTGTAGCTGTTTCCGCTATCATGCCCACAGTAGATATGGATTCGACGACTTTCAGGCATCTAGCTTTTCAAGCCCCTAAACCCTAAACCCTGCATGGATTGCAACCCAGAGCCCTAGACTCACCCTAAACCCTAAACCCTAAACCCGAAACCCTAAACCCTAAACCCTAAACCCTAAACCCTATAACCCTAGACCGGAGTAAAGACGTTACTGTAAACCCTGAACTCTAAAACCCCGGAACCCTAGGGCCAAAAGCTTAAAGGAAAAGCCTTCACTCCTAAGGCACTGAAGCCTTTGCAACCTTAATTCTAGGGTTTAGAGGGTTTAGGGGGTTTAGGGTTTAGGGTTTAGGGTTTAGGTATAGGGTTAACTCGAAGCTTGAAAGAGTACTACAACCCCAAACCCTGCCAGGTGCGAACCGCTGAGAAGCCAAGAGCAACAAGGGCTGCAAGGACGATACCCAAACGCTTGGACAAAGGGTGTCCTGGTCGCAAAGCTGTACTCGCGATAGCCCTGAACCCTTAACAATAACTCAAAATACGGCTTTACATGGCAATTCTATACACCCATTTCAATATGGGCTTCTAGGCTTCACAAGGTTTCTAGGTGGCACTTTGGAAAACTTTTAAATTTCCCGTATGGTTCCTATAGGGTACTTATTCATAGATAATTGTGGGGGGCCCGAAGCTGCAACCCAGGTTTCTGGAGACTGGATTTGATGGGGTTTAAGGTTTGGGGGAAAGGGCCGGCGTATATTTTTGTTACGAGCGTTTCTACAGGGTTCTCCAATACCCCCGGCCAGGTTGCAAGTGGGGTTTCTTTCTTCGGGGATGCTTGGTCGCTCTTAGAAAGAGTTGTGATCTAAAGTGTTTCAGTGCATAGTAGACCCGGAGAGTTGGGCACTTAGCATTGTCGTTTCTTCAGCAGAGGCCCGAACTTTACAATCCTCAATCCTAAGCCTATATCTGTTTCTGAGGTTGGGGCAAAACTTGCGTACTATAGGAGCCTGAATCATTACCTATCGGGGGTTCCTTATTATAGTTATACTATAAAGGAGCCCAAAACCCTTAAGGCCCCTATATTATTACCTCATTTGAGCCCAAACCTTCTTCAAGGGCTTCTAAACCCTAAACCCCAAACACCTAAACTCCTGAACCCTAAAGCCTAAACCCTAAACCCGAACCCTTAAACCCTAAACCCTAAACCCCTAAACCCCTAAACCCCTAAACCCCAAACAGAGAAGCCAAGGTTCTGGCGTGGGCGGCGTGGCAGACATGGGACTGAAGAGCCGTATCACGACAGGAAAATCATGGGGAGGGTTGAGGGTTTAGGGTTTAGGGTTTAGGGGTTTCGGGTTTAGGGATTCAGGGGTTCAGAGGTGAGGCGTCTAGGGGTTTGGGTTTTAGGGCTTTGGGTTTAGAGCCCTAAGCCCTAAACCCTAAACCCTGAACCGTTGGCTTCGGCATCTTGGTTTGGGAGTTGATTTCAAATTCGGCCGGATGCATAGGGCCAAGGTGCTGGCCTGCACTCTTCATCACCCTAAACCTTAAACCCTAAACCTGATGAGCTCATTGCCACTTTTCTTGACTAGGTGTACGCCTGCTATAAGGCAGCTTCCCGACTGCTTTGCAGAAAAGGAGCCACTACACTTAAAAAACCTAAACCCTAAACCCTAAACCCTAAACCCTAAGCCCAAACCTTAATCTCCATCCTACCCGTACTGTGCTTGGAGGATCATGGAACTTAGTCTGTCTGGTGCTGAGTAGGGAAGAATTGGGGGAATGGATCTCTATGCAAGTCCCTTAAGGGTTTAGGGTTTAGGGTTTAGGGTTTAGGGTTTAGGGTTTAGGGTTTAGGGTAGTCCTTATAAACCATTCCCCCATTCCCTACTAAGCACCAGACAGTTGTAAGTAAGGATATGAGTACCTTGAATTGAGTAGGATAACAGGTAAGTACAACTGTAGTTACCCTCCTTTTAACCCAAGTTACCACGGTTAGTGTTGTAAATCCTGCGTTACCCATAATCATGAATATACCATAATTCCCATAGTATAGGGTCCTTCAGCTAATGCAGGATTCATATCATCAACAGTATGTCCCATGCTTTAAGTATGCCCGAAGCCCTCAATCGTCAACCTGACCTAACTCAGCCCGAGGCCTCCGATCTACACGCAAGCCCTAGATCCTGAGCCCAAACTGGCCCATCGTTTTTGAGAAAAGTACCCTTTTACCCTGTTTCTTTGTGGGATCCCTGAATAAAACCAAATAGGAGGCAAAAGGACACCCTTACTAGTAGGGGCTACTGGGGCACCTCGGTTTGGTTTTAGATGCCTAAACCCTAAACCCGTAGGCTGCCTCATTGTCTGAGCTTTCCCAACTCTTCACACCAAGAACGGTCGACAGGAGCTATACCATTTGACTGAGAGCACTAGAACAAAGAGTTTAGGGTTTAGGGTTTAGGGTTCAGGGTATAGGGTCTAAGGTAGCCCTGACACCCTAAAGCCCAAAAGAGCCCCGACACCCCAGGCCTTGTAACCCTAAACCCTAAACCCTAAAAGCCTAAAGCCTAAACCCTAAACCCTAAAAGCCTTTAACATTTGAAGCCCGAAGAGCCTTGAACCAGGAAGCCCCAAACCCTGAACCCCTCAGCCGGTACCCGAAACCATCAATTGGAGTTTAGGGGTTGGGGGCTTAGGGGTTAAGGGTTTAGGGCTTAAGGTTTAGCGCTTAGATAAGACATGGTAGACCCTACATACCAGTATCTCTTTTGTAAAGACCCCTGCGTAAGACAGCTGTTTCTCAAGAAAACCCTTACAGTACCCCAACGAAGCCTTCGTTGAAAGCCGTATAGAGCCCGTGCAAAACCTGCGTTGAAGCTTACCTGCAAGAATCCTTTGAGGTGAATCTCCTAAATCCTACCAGAACCGTTGCAGAGAGACCCGTCATCGCCCTTGTAAAGCCTTCAGGTGAATCCCGGAATGCGAAGGCCACCGGAGCAAAAGCTTCGAGTTTGGTTACGTGCGGCGCAGCTGGGGCGATGGTCGAGCCTGGGCAAAAGGAAACGCGTGCCTAACACACAGGCAGACGACAGACAGGCGGCAGAACCCCCACCCCGCACGCACGCACACCTGGGCACCCGCCACCCGCGCGCACACGCACACACACCCGCACCCACACCCACCCCCACCCCCACCC